TTTGTAAATTTGTAAATATTATAGTGCATTGGTATTTAGTAATTAATTCAAAAATATTTAACATTGATAGAAAGTATAATAGTTTTAATGATAAATTGCATACTAAAATTTGGAAAATAAATGCTTACTGTTTTCATTTTTTAAATACATATTGTATTGTTTATTAAAATATCATGCCTAACTAACTTGATGATTAGTAGTTTATTTATCTAATTTTACTTTATGCTTTTTTTTAAGTATTTAGGCAGTAAGAGGCTGTTTTAAATTTTGAATGTTTATATTCAACTTCTTTAATTTGGATAACTAAACAAAATGTGTTTAGACAAATATTATGAGTTTCTCATTATTAATTTGTCAAAACTTTAATTCAAGTGAATGAATTAATTTACATAAATTTCCATACTAACAATAAACCCTGCATAGTCTTCATTTTCTTCAAACTGATCGTGTAACCAGATAAATTCTTCATGCTGACGTACAACTGAAAATTCTGACCTTTGAAAATCTGGTAATGTTGTCTAAAATATAAATATTTTATTATTATTGTTGTCTTTAAAGTAAATATTATTATTATTATATTATATAATAAATAATAAATATTATTACAATGATATAACTTTCACCTTTGACAAAACAGTGAATTTGACTCGGTCCTTTTCACTGAGAGCATCAGAAATAACAACTTGAAGAGAATTATCACTTAAATCGACATTCTCAGAATTGCTCCCCTGTAAAACAAAATGTAAAAATAAAAATGAGGCAAACAATTTGCATGCATGATGAAATAGAATAATTACTTCATTTATTATATCACTCTGGGAATTGTTTTCTTCCACGTCAAACTCGTCTGACTAGAAATAATAAAGATTATGTTTAACATATTGAAGGAAACAAAACTTAAAAACAATAAGTCAAATAAGTTTGAACCTTGCATAGGCAAAATTAAAGGGAGTAGCTAAAGCATACCCAACCTCTAATTTAGCACTTCCTAGAACCTGCAATATAATGCCAAAATGATGTGAGAAAAGAGCGATATTTTTGTTTTATGCAACATTTTTCCTATTTGATCTTTTATTTAAAAAAAAAAAACATTTAAAAAGAAACTTTTTTAACTTAAACATGGTATTTCAAAGTGAAGTTAAATTCAAAAAAATTTTGAAATATGTGAACACAGTTTTTCAAGTATCTGTGCCACAAATTAGAAATTGGCTGAGTATAAGTATGGCAATGGTTTACATAGGTAMAAAATTATTAAAGCAATATAGAGGGATGTTGCAAATAAACAATGGAAATAGTTTAAAAATAATACATTGAATTCTTATTAATGAATAGGTATAGATGTAAATTATTAATAATTTTAATGTTTTTTGTAAGTTGGATGATATTGTACTATAATATATAATAAGATAAGTATTTTACTGTACTGGTGTAATATCAAATTAGGTTGTACCTATAACCTATACACGTGAATAATAACATTGAAGTTGTATTACAAAAATTTGTTATCAATGGATTTGAAATGTGTTGTGTGAGGGCAAAACGAATTAGTGAGGTATACATAATTTTGCTACCCTTTAATTGTGCCTGTAGACTCACAATGAGCAGTCTTAGTCAAACCTATCATTGCAAACAATATAGGTATCCGGTGCAGACTGTTCTAACGACATGAAAAAACTTGGCTTTAGAGATGGAGAGTACTTACAAGCATAGTGTACACGGACGTCGGTCGCTGACTACGTGTCGCAAGGGGAGCAAGTCGAGTTGCCGGACGTGAGTGACAATGAACGACCTTTGACTATGAACAAAATCGAGTGATTCGCGAGTAGGTACTTTAGAGCCCCTTACGCCGACGATGTTAATGTCACAGTTGTTTATTGTCAGTCGAGTCTCGGTCCTGGCGCCCAGTAAAGATCAGATGATGTCGGTGAACGCATTTAATACGAAAACCTCGATCGCGCGTGCGTACAATACAAAGACGATCGTCGATGGGTGACGACTAGTCTGCGGACTACTACAGTTAATAGCAGGGATCGAAGGTAAATATTGTGATCGCGATGTATTCCCTTCCGACTGGACAAGCGAGTAACGATACTAACAAACAACAATATGATTTAAGATATGCTGTCGCCAATATAATATGGGTAAGTTAGGCGGTATATCGTAATATGTCTTTCGTATCGTTCGAACTTCGAACGCACCCTCAGAGCGTAGTATAGTACGTACAAAATAAACTATGAAATATGAATAATGATAAGAGCGACGTCGGCAGTATACGACAAACGCTAATACGCCCACTCTATTGTCATTGCGTCTCTTATGATTATACGATATCTCGATTCTTGAGAGAACTTCCGCCACGGCGCCGCAATCGATTTACAGTGTTGCCAATGGATACGCGATATATTGTAACGCTAAAAATATAGAAAAAATGAATCATGAAAATATTTCAACATTTTAACATCAAAATATCATATATTATTATTATGCATTTTAAATAGGTACGCGCGAAATCACTATTGAACAGCTCCATACTCAATCAGTCTCTATCGCAATCTAATAGCAAATTTTCAATTCGTCAGTCACCCAACTTTAAAAGCAAATCTAAAAGTTGTATTTTGATGTTTATTATTATTTTCTTGTTTCTATATAAATGCCTATGTAAAAATTTGCAATATTATGTCAATATAATATAATTAATTATGTCCATTGCTCATGATGGTCACTACAGCACAATGGTCAGTATTTCCAGTGTGAGCAGTCGCTGAGTGGTATAGCTTAGGTAAGTCTTATATTTCATCGTACCTGAAATTTTGTAAGTAATTATAATAGTAATAATAATAGTGATCTTTATTGTATATGAAAATAACCCACAGATACCTATAATAATTTATATAAACTAAGTTAGTTTATATATCAGTGCAATATCAATAGAAAGTAGAACTTGGTAGTCCTTAGAACTAGGTAGGTACCTACCTGTTATCTAATATATAAAATTAAGGGTTTATAATAATTTATTTTTAGTCCTCCATAAAGTAAAAAACTACTGGTCCGTTTTCAACAAGAGTTATAATATAATTGAATTTTTGACACTTGGGTTTGGGTATTAGGTTCGTATAACGTTGTTGGTCATCGGTTAAAGCTGGACCATCCCGAAAGACAAATAGTGATGGGAAGCTTGATTCATTAATTATTAACCAATTCTAAAAAAATTATTATCGCTCCKCTCAAATTACTGTTAACATATAAGATAAACATTTTGCATTTATAGCCACAAACAACATATTTATAAGATAACTTTTTAAAGTGAAACTCCTTTACGGGTGGTAGGTAGATACGAGGTACCTTAAGTCGGATTCATGGCCTCAGCCGTGGTGAACCGAAAGTGTTACGGGTGTGAATTACTCCATAATTAAATGAAAAATTATAAATATTGTATTATGGATTATTCGATAATAAGGTTTCTATGATAGTAAATAATAATCTATTTGCGTCTTACCCGTGTATAATGATAATAAATCAATTTCAATTGAACATTTTATTTTTATTTTTTTCAATACTTTTGACATGTACCTAAATACATGGGTGTTATGGCTGGGCTTATCCTGATTTTTGTGCGACACGGAGAGCGTTACGACTATTACGTCATCGTGTTGAATCCGGAAGCACAAAATATTATTGTATTTTTCTGACCGATTTCATATTACAGTAGTTACTAGCCACAGTCCACAACAATTAATGAATCAAACAATAACTATACAGGGTGTCCCACAGAGATCTGACATTCTGA